AATTTCATTAAAATCAAATGAAAACTAATTCGAAAAACTTTCATCGAAAAATTGTCAAATTCGCACTTGACCAAGATCTCATCACACCAAATTTCATTCAAATCAAATGAAAACTGTAGTCTCTATTGCGCTCACAAACAAATTTGGACATGTTTTTATTATGTCAAGTGCAATAATTCAAAAACCTTTCATCGAAAAATCGTCAAATTCAAACTTGACGAAGATCTCATCAATATACATCATCACACCAAATTTCATTCAAATCAAATAGAAACTGTAGTCTCTATACGATCGACAGACTGGGCACCACCAATATACATCCACATTTCCATGTGGGTGTATTAAAATGAAAATTACTTTGGTAATTTTACCGGGCCAATAAAGTAGTGTACATTTAGTTAGTATTTAATAACTACCATAAACGATAATCACCATTTTGCATGCTTGTTATAGTTTTCTACCTTTACACAGAACGTAACTTATTACAATTGCTATAAATTCAATTCCACAATTTGACGTCATAATCCTCACCCATCAACCTGCCTGCTATTCTTCATGTTAATGGCTATACACTCAGTACCCTTACTAGACAATAATACATGTTACATTGAACACTATTACCCAATTAATATTCCTTTTATGTCTGCAACATATAAAATTATCTCTCACCCCCTTTATTCAAATAAATCAAGTTATTGATGCCTACAAGAAAAGACTACCCAATATCATATTCGTTTTTTCTTTTGATGAAATCTTAAAATGTAGTGAAAAATTTACAAAACAACGCCTAGTTTTTTGAGGTTTACAAGCAAATATTGACGGACCGACCGACGGACAGACAGGGGTGCCGACAATATACGTCTACATAAAGAGATGTGGGCGTATAAAAATCATATTATACAAATCCAAAGTCAATAACATTTAACAACATAAAAAAAACACAGGATATTTGGTATTTTCAGTCTTCACTCAATAACTTTTCTAATGGAAAATAATATTTTTATTAAATAATTAATAATTTTATTCACCAAACTGTGATTGCATATAAAAACAATTTGATATGAACAACTCAGTTGCGCTATTATTCAAAGTGGTTCATATCTCCTGCAATTGATTCCATTCATTCAACTCGCTATTGATTAGTTATTCTGAAGAGTCTCTTATTTTTTTTTTTTTTTAAAATAAGTATGAGCTTGAAGCTTTAATGACCATAAAAAGGTAACTCTGTTTGGAACATTTTCTTGCACATAACCCATCAGATTGATAAACAACACTATTGATGTCTTCTCAATATCAGACTGTTCAACTAAGAAAAGCAACTTGTTATTTGGTGCCTATATGAAAATATTTCTTTGATAATTATCAGCTAATTTATTATAGAGAACTTAAAATATTTTAGTAACCATATCTATAAGTTAATAAAATTTCCAGAACAGCCGTATTGTCAATAATCACAATAAACACAATTCACTTTTCTCTTTAATTGAAAAAATATCTCTAGCCTTTTAAACTGATCAATATTTTTTTAACTCACAGCCTATTACACCTGCTACTGTCTGTAGTCATCAACAATATATATTTTATTTAAAGGATGATTTGTAAATTTTATAGTATATTTATAGACTTTATAGCTTATATTTTGAAATACTTTCAAGTCATTTACAAGAAATCTCAATTGGTAAAGAAAAAATCTTACAATATAGAACAAATTAAACTGTAAACCAACTATGATTCAGGAACTGGTTTCCAATGGCATGACCATGTAATATACTGTAAATTGGACTGAAAACCTTAAATTAGATACAGATATGATAGTCTTTCTCCTGTATGAAAATTCAGGGGAACACCTAGATGACCTATACTTTACCTGCATCAAACGGATCTCTTTCATCATAAAATAAACTGTATTTTTATCAGATAGATCTTGGTATACTCTCTTTGAGTTTAAAAGTATTAGAATTCAAGAAAATTGAAAACTTACATAAAACGAATTAGTGATAATTAAAGAGAGCGAATTCCAGAGAAAAAAGTAATCAGAAATGTTTTTAATTATGTTCAGGTAGCTTTAACCAACATTAGTTGTAAGATAATTCCATAGACTATATTGTAATTATACTAGCATTCTAAATCAAGTTTCTTTAACACCTCTTTTCTAAACATCAATAATATTGGTGCCAAGATGAAAAATTAATAATGTAATACAGGAGCATACTCGAGGAATGTTCTTTTGAAGCCAACCCTAATCAAGCACCAAACTTCCTTTTGAGGTAAGAGATATGAAACATGAGTTAAAAATTAAGTTTCTGAACAACTGCTAATGTGCAGGGCTGAAACTTCTGTTTTTTTTTTTACCTCTTAGCTGATTACTGTTTCAGAAAGTATCATTGATGTGATATCACTATTTCAAGGCTTGTGTGTGTCAGTCCATACTCATAGCAGATAAACTACCAAGACCACCCACTTGCAGGCTGATCCCCTTCCTCCACTTTACTACAAATACATGACTAATACCAGAGATTAGCATGATAAAAATGATATTTATAGAACCTCGCTAAAAGAAAGGTAGATATATCATGACCTGTGTGGTATTGCCACCTACCAGTAACTACAGATATCAAGTTGCTGATGATGAGAATAATCATACTGACAACATTGTAGACTATACAATTTACCTTTTTTTTCATCTCATCAGTATTATCCTTCAAGGAATAATGAATAAATAAATAATTAAATTATTTGATGTATGTCTCATCATTACCTGTATAGATCATATTTAAATGTGAATATTGTATGTACATATTATGTATATAAGTTTAGATTCAATGATTTTTTGTTCTCATTCACTGCATCTGCAGTTGTTACTTGAAATATGTGGGTAAAAAGATGTTGAATTAATTTATAATTCTAGAAATGCTTGTGTTTTGTACCTAACTTTAGAGCAGTTTTTGTATGTTGTACTTAAATGACAGGTGCTCCATTTTTTTTTTTTGGGGATGGGGGGGGGGATTTGGTCTGTTACATAGTTATGGCAATGTTTCAAGAAAAGCCGACACGGCTTTTTAACTTTCAAAATTATTACTGATTGGCTTAGCTTAAAATTCCCATTTCTGACACTAAGGTTTGATTGGTCATAAAATTGGCCCGTCTGTCCCTTTGATGTATATAGTTTCAAAGCTAATATAGTTTCTATGTACTTGTAATGAAGCAAAAGACGGTACATGATAATATGGTTTCTATGAAGTCAATATCTTGACATGAGTAGATATGTACGACTAATATACAGTATTATATGAGTAGTACTATTAATAATAAAGGTGTTCTCATTCTGGTCCTGTTGGCAGAAACAAAACTCCACAATTATTGTAAAGGTACAAAATTTCTGACAACAATCATTAGAAACAATTATACATTTCACAATACAACAGCAAAATAGATAGAAAGTCTACACAACATTAAATCTAGCTCTATATCCACACATCTAGAAAAACGACAAATTAATCTAAAATAGCATCATATTGCATCAATTTTTAAAAATACCAGTTTTTTGCTCTGCTTTTCACTATTCAAAAAAAGAAATGTGTGAATTATGATATCATGGTTGTCATAAATTTGTTAATAGTGTGTATAATGGCAGAGATTCACAGTTTTGATTGAGTGATTTATACTGGGTTTCGTGTGTGTCCAATTAGAAAAAGGCTTTTTAATTGAAGCATTTCCCACCATTTGCTTTCATTTTTGCATTACTGCAAACTATTTTTTTTGCTCTATATACTATAAATACCTATCTGGAGTAAAGGCAAGTGTTTATCAATCCATTTAACTTGCAGCTAAATGCACACAATATTCACCAGACATGGTGTACAGCTGAAGGGAGTTAAAAGCAATAGATATCTGAACTAGAAGAAAGCAGACTATACTGGTAGTTAAATCTATACGCTAATAAGAAATAGACTATATTTATAAGCAGCAGACAGATTATATAATATTGATTGAATCATACATTTGATATTCTTAATTCCATCTAGAACCAATTGATTTTGGAAACACAAACATAAATGTTCTGAGATCTTTTTACAATTTATTAATTTCAAATCATTACAGAATGTTCCTATTTAAGTTTAATAAATCAACAAAATTACATTTCTTCATATTTTACAACATATCTGACATTTTTTAGTATCAAATCTGATATTGAAACAAAATACAAGATTTGACTTTAATTGATATCAGAAAAAATTACGAAAAACAAATTATACAAATATCTTCTCATGTTCTGTGATTCAAAGACACTAAAAAATTTTTTTTAAATTTTGACAGTGTACAAAATAATTGAAGGTTTATGCATTTCCAGTGTAGTTTTTTTTTTTCGATCATCTCAATCATCATTCCCCTGCATTATATGGTTATTTCTTTTTATGATCATATGTATGATTCAATACACATATTCATGTCAAGTTTTCTTACCTTCAAATCTATTAAATCTTTAAATGATATTGAAAATACCATCTAAGACACTTATCTATTAATGGAATATCATCTGGCTTACGTGAAAATGTGATGTAACATGTTCAATTTTGTTTTGGTTTTCAAGTTTCAGAAACAGAAACCATGTTTTTTGTTCAAAATAATGAACTGAGTTTCTTTATTCAACACAAAACCTATTTTCTTTTGTAATTACTTCAAATTCATCTAATGCTACTCTTGACTTTTGGCATCAATGTATAAATATACTTGAATGCATAAAAAAAATTAATGCACATTTAAGTTTGTTTGGAATTCTTGTAAGTAGATTTAAAAAAGTACTTTGTTCCTTCAGTCAAGAAAGGTTTGTTAAATCTTACTTCTTAGAAAGTTAAACAAGACCTCTTTCCACATGATCAAACCAAACTATTTTGAAATGACATTGAGATGAATTTTGAAGTCCCCCATACTTGACATGTATATATGAAATAATAAAGCATGCTGATAGCTAGAAACACGACACTTACAGTAGAACTTACTTGTGCTACTTTATCAGACACATTCTGCTTCATATTCTGCATGTTTGGCAATAGAAGACCTTTGGCTGTTGGAAGAACTCCATCTTTATCTGGTGTTTTCTTCACACTGTCACTAGCTATATTGCTGATACTGTCTGTAAACTGTTTGGCTCTGTGTTTTGCCAACTCAGAATCACTGGATGCAGTATTAATAAAATTCACTTTCACATGATTGCCAGTTGGACCTGTAACATCCCAAAATATCCATTTACTAATATAAACCCAACAATTTCTTAAAATAACTGTTAACTTGAACATTTTTATTATCCGCAATAGAAACTGATATCAATAGAAAAAGTCTAGAAATCGTATTTGTCAAAGAAGTTCTGCATCCATATCAAAAGATCAGTAAATCCAAAACCAAAAAGGCAAGTATTTACTTGTCAAAACTTCTCTAAAATATGTCTGCCAAGTTTTTCTTGAAAGAAACACAAGCAGGATGAAACTGAATCACTATACAAAATGAAATGACAATAAATGTCAGGCATCTCTTCATAGAATGTCATTCCTAAAAACCATTCCTTGTAGATTTCAAACTATTTCTTATTAAGTATTTCTTTAATGTCACCATAAAACAGTCTCAATATCAAAAACCTAGTCAAGTTTTCAACATTCAATTTCGAAATTATCAAATATTCTCCACCATAATGTGCTAATAAAATGTCTTATCTTGGTGAAGTGGTTTGCATAAGATATTAAAGAATCTTGTGTATTATGATAAAGGATATCAAGGCGTAAGTCGGTTTGTGGTGGAGTAATATCTAATAGTTTACGTTCATAATTAAATGGTAATCAGTCATATTAGGTAGAACACTGTCTTCATTTTTCACTTATAATTCTTTTCTCACCAAATAAAGTAGAATTTAATGCTCTTCTATACATAAACAAATATTTATGCTAAAATTTAAATCCAATCCCATCAAAATTTCAGCTTAATGCAATTTAATTCCAGCACAATTTTCTATACTACCAGAATGTTAGCACATTCACACTTGATGTTCAAATTGAAATACTTAATGTTTTCTGATCCTGCTATTCCTTGAAAGGAGTATAATTTATTTACACTTTTAAAATATCCTAATTGTACATAAGAACCTCTAAATATAACAAAGACTTAAAGAAAGTGACAAAAATCACACCTTAATATATCCAGACATTTCACTTAAGAAGTTACTTTAGAAAAGTAAATGTTTTAAAATGGTGTGGAAATTGGTTTCTAACAAAACGAAAGAAGTTTAAATTTGTTCATGACATAATGCTTGCATGCTGAAACCACACACCAAAGGAGGAAGGTATTGTCTCCACACTGAATCATGTCTAATTAAAGCACATAAAAGCATTTTTCTGTTGTTGATACATTCAGGAAATGGAGGGAAAGAAATGGTTGGAAAAATCAGAGAAAATAACATGCACAAACATGACCAGACATTCCATTCAGATAAAAAGTTTATTTTAGATTTTTCTCATCTAAATATCATTTGACTAAATATTGACTGGAACTTCATTATAGAAACCATACCCATCCGTGCCTTGTAATGAAGCCTTAAGATCCTTGATGCGAAGAAAATGACAGTGGCCAAGCAATGGATCTCTTACAACTGTTAGCAAAATTCATGTTATTACCAGAAGAAAACAATTTCTAAAATTGAAAGACATCCCATTTATTGTTCCAAGATAAAATTCAAAAAAAATTATCTTCAAGACCATCAATGGAATATAACAAACTGCTTTTTTTTTCAGGATTAGAGCAATAAGAGTTTTGATTCAAAATTCCAAATCAACCAAAATAAATGAGTTATGATCTTTGGATAAATGACTAAAATATTCAGAAAAAAGTTTTGAGATAAGAGTTCTAACAATTTGAGATATATTAGAGTCAGTTCTAGACAGTTCATAGCAGAAAATCATAGTCTGGTATAAATAAGACAATAAAACTATAATAGGATATGGTATTTCATCATAAAACTACCTAAAAAAAAGAGAGTTATAATTGATGGGTATAGTGATATTTACATAAGAGAGTAATTGTTTTCCAATCTATTCTATCCTATAGTAATACCCTTGTTTGTAAAGACTGTATATTGACAGAAAATCAATTTATACTAACATTGTTGAGAAATGATTAGTTTTAGAGAATGTCCAGCCAAATTGAATATTACCTCATAAAACAAGACTGGTTATTCATAATGTCTGCCATTTACGCATGTTGTGATTAAAATACAGATCCAGATGTTTCCTTTCAAGTTCTTTCTGCTCTAACACCGTAAAAACATATAGAAACACTGAGATCATCATTTCAATCAGATTGAACTAATTTGATTTGCATGATTAGTTAACAATGAACACATGACTGTAAGATGAATCGATGGCCAAAATTAGTTTTTTATACAATTTTTCATAAAATTTCCTTTGAACATCTCAATCTTATCAGTTACATTTTAGACTTCAGACTGTATTCTGATAAATATTAAGCTGACAATATGCTTTCTAAAGATAATTTAGCATGTTGTGTAAGGTATAACATAATATTACTATGTATATTAAGATAATTCATTGCAATGTTTACTGCACGTTGGTGCATGATCAAGTAGTAACAGAAAAGTATCTTTTCTTCAAGGTTTAATTTCCAGATATATATTCAGTAAACAACATGCATATGTCAATAATTAACTCTTTATTTCTTCCCAAAAATAGTACTGGTACAATTTTCTATAAGGATGAACTGCATGTTCAAGTGTTTGTTCATTAGTTAGATAAAAGTTGGTAAGTATTTGCTAATGTAAAGAGAGGGATAAATTGTGATTTAGTAGAAAATCTTTTGAAAGTGAAAACCAAATCAATCAAAAGAAGAAATTCAATTAAGAAAGGTTTATTAAATTTGGGATCGTAGATATCCATGCTGATAAAAATATTCAGTAAAAAGTAACAAATTCTAGACGCTGAAAATATTTTTTTTATTTCTTTTACCTGTCTCATTTTCATTTGATCTGAAAACTACAAATTTATCATGTAATTAATGCTTTTCTGTTCATCTGCCAACTGATGGAAATGCATAACAACAGTTATTCAAAGACTGTAGTATGGCAATATGTTCATAATAAGATTTTATGCAATTACAAATTCTTGCACAGTATGAAGGGAAATAACTCCACTTTTTACTCTCCAAAAAATAAGTAAGTAGTAAATTGTAAAGACAACAAAATAGAGATCACGTAAAGTGGAAATTCATGCAAAAATTACCCCAAACTAACATGCTATATGAATACACTCTTAATTTAACAAAATAACTTTAGAGGTCAAGTTGAAAATGGGCAAAATGACTTTGTGAACAGCCCCCAAAAACCCAGATAGGACCTAATAGAAACTTTAAATCACAATAGAAAGAGTAAAAGTTCACATGATAGAGTTGGGATAATGGGTGAGGTCAGATAGATGTTGAAATACATGCTCCATTCTGGAATAAAGGGAATGAATAGAATGTATTAATGACAACATTTTGAAAATGGCAGCACAAGTGGTGAAACAGCCCTTAAAATATAATATTGGCTTCCTTAGTTCAACTCTGCACAGGTATGCTGACATTACTCCTACACTCTGGACTTACTTTAGAAAATTTTGTATTAGAAATTTCAAAACCCACAAATATATATTTCAGTGTATAAACATAGTGAATAAACTGGTATATAGTGTGATATGATTGTTATAAAAGATGAATAATAAGTTAGTGGAATTCAAAATTGGAGAGAATAAGGAAGCAAGGCGCAGGAAAAAGTGCAAAATGCCGCAGTCCCTGGTATCAATTACTCACATGAATCTAATGTATGCGCTCGTGGCCGACCATTGGACAGATTTAAATAAGCTGTAAAGAAGAATAATTATGACAACATAATGCAGAACTGAAAACATCTAAAAACTAACAAATTATAAATGAGGCATGATAAGATATATGCACCAAATGAAAGGAAAAGTAACAACAAAAAATACAATTTTTTATATAACTAACTTCTACATGTACCAATTAAGCAAATCAAAATGAGCAATGTACTAGAAAAAATGTAGTAAATAGAAAGAATAAATTTGTATGTGAAAAATATTCTGAATGCTGTATGAGAAAGAAATTTCATCAGATGTCCAATCTTTCAGTAAGTTTTTTCTTCTATGTACATCAAGTAAAAACTCTCAATTTTAGAAAACAGTGTTTGCGTCTGTATCCTTATTTTTTACTTGTTGCCTATCATGCTAGTGAGTCAACAAAATCCTGCCATATTAAGATAAGCTTATTCATAACTGCTGCCATATGCTACTAACTTGTTGATATAGATATTTTTCTTTACAAAAATTTTGTTTGTATGAGTGTAAGCTTTGTCTAGTGTACTGGAAGGACGTAAATAAAGACTTTACTTTCAAGATAAAGATTTTAGGAACATATTTGTAGTCTTGATTATCATATACTGAATTATTTCCCTTGAATCAGATCCTCAAGACCATTCGAAGAGAAAATGTGTATAGGCCATTTATAACTTCCATCAGCATTATTCCCTTGTAACCTACAGCCTGCTGTTCTAAACAGACAGAATACTGTAGACCTATACAAAACTAACGCTTTGTTAACTGAATGCATGGCAGATCCAATAAATGCTTATTTGCAAAGGGATTCTATAAAGTTGTTGAAAATCCTAATCTTATTTTAGAAATGAAAATGGATAAAGCTCTTAGTTGAGTTAAAGATAAATTTTGAACTATGCAATAATTATATGGATTGGATGTATTCACCATATTAGTATATTGACTGAAAAAAGTTTTCTACCATAATAATTGAAGATGTACTATTAATTATAATGTACTATATGGTATTTAGATTGTCTGTAATTGATTTTAGACTATTTTCTCTGTAATAATATAATATTCTATCTCTATTAACAAATAATCATTTTCTCTCTATTTACATTTATTAACTAAGATTAGTTTGAACAGTTAAATACACATATTTACTTCTTTGCACACAGTTATATTCTGAAATTTCTGTGTTGACTTTTATACAGTCTTATATAAAATTCAAACATTAGAGATAGCTTGTGCTAAGATGAAATTCACAGTGAATAGCAACCTACATATGTTTCAATGTAGGAAGTATAAACTGTTCTAGTCTTCGATTTATTCTATCATTTACCTGTGCATAGATTCAAGATCTTCACAATATTCGAGTGTAAATGTTCAAATTGTCCTGTGTTACCTACTTTTAATTGTGCTTCAATAATTACAAAATAATTAAATAGATTTCATCAAGGAAAGTTTTAAATGCAATTACAATTAATTAACTAACTATTCGTTTCATGGGTGATATGTGAAAATTGTCCCTAGAGAAATATTGTGTTCAATTGGTAGAAGCATGCAGTCTGTTAAAATAGCATGTTGTTTGTAGGTGCTATTCATATTGCTATCATGTTTATGAATCTATTACGAGCCGTAAGCTCTATACATCGAAAATCAATGTATGTGTATTATTAAAGTAAAAAAAAGAAAAAGAAAGACTTTATGTTCATGAATACCATAGGCCTACATGTAAATAATTTATCAAGTTAATTTTTACTATGTCACTTGATATTGAATACAGATTGAAAAAGAAAAACATAAATCTAAAAAATGTGCTAGGATCAGCATATCTGAACAATCCACAAGATTTCAAAAGCTTTTTTATTTTCTGCACTTCCTTCCACTTGACTGAAGATATGATTTATTTGTACCTTTCACTTTGTATTGATTAACTGTTAATTATAATTAATAACTAAGTACCATCTTTTTAATTATAAATAGAACTCATTAGTATAATAGTATTAAACAATATAGTGTATTTTATAGACAATATTTACTTCTATTTTCATCCTACTCTTAGACTGTATTAATTAATAAAATATGTTTTGAAATGCATAACATGGAATGGAGCTTTACTTCTTACAGTTACAATTTCAATAAGAGTGTGCATTAAGGAAAGTCTGGAAATTTGTATAACTTCCAAAAATGTCAATGTGTACAGACTGTGAGCTCGCTACATAGAGTGTTTCTGCCCTAAAAAACCTAATTTCAGGAACTTGCAAGGATAAATGATGTCCATTTTTATATGTCAACATTGCTGCGCCCCTATACGTCGGACTGTCCACATTTCTTGTAGGCACAACAGAGATACATATTGATGAGACCTTGGTCAAGTTCGCAATTGGTAATAATCTGATTTCTGAGTTATTGCCCTTGTACATATGGAAGAGATCTTGTGAGTTATTGACTTTGACTTAGTAAAATTTGTATCAAATTTGGCTTGTAGTTTCAGAGTTATTACCCTTCTGTATATATCTAATTCATTTTTAAGCCTGACAGCTGGAAGTGGGCACATGTTACCTTACCTGGCAAGCTATTTTGAATGTATGTTATGTTATAAAGTCATAGAAGAACAGAATACTGATTATAGCAACTTAAACAAAAAGCAAAATAATGAAATAAAGATATATTTGATAGATTTGACAGAGATTGCTCTACTACTTCTACTTTTTAATATACTCATTGATCACAGCAAATACACATACAAAATATCAATTTGTATCATCACCTTTTTCATTGTTTCTTCGATGATATCCTTCTTGATCTCTCATTGGTCCATCATAACCATCCACTTCACCACGACTCAATGTTGATTGGCTATCACCATCTACATTTTCTATTTCGCTGTCTTGTAATGATTTACGACTGGACAATGGAGATTGTGTTCTATCACCGTCTTCCTTATCAAACTGATTTAATGGAACTGCTTCTTCAGGAATTGGTGGATTTTCAGGATCTGGACTTTGTTGGATGGCTTTAGCTTTTCTACGAATATCTCGTCGTATGGAGGGAAGGCGAAGTTTAAAACTTCGGTGACGATCTGTAAAATCAGAACAAAAAATAGATTTAATACTGTACACTATAATGTATCAGATGAAGCAAAATTCCAATCAAATTTCTCATAGTTCACATAGATCAGTTATTTCTCGATTACTTTTTATTTGGATTATTATAATTATAAAGCCATTTTTACCAGTTATCAAATACTGGTGTTAAAAACTACAAGGAATAAGTCCCCTCTATACTTACTATTTTTCATATTTTTAATTTCTGTTTTATTGCTAATAGGTGCTTGGTCGGATATATCTTCATAGTTAATAATAAACATAATAATTTCACCGTGGGCATTTTTAACAGGGGCAATCAATTCACTACATAGAAATTTGGTACCTGAAAGTACACAAAAACAATATATACTAAAATATTTTGTAAACCTTGTATCATAAAAACATGTAACAAAATAATATTGATTATAGTATAGATTGGGTATACAAGATAATTATGTTTGATTGTATAATAATTGATTCACATATCCTAGAAGAGTTATCAGCCATTGCTATATAATTGGTTCATAAACCACTCTAGGCAAGACAATTTTCAAATGCCACAACTTTTCCTAACAGATATGTCTTTGCTTAAAAGTGCATCGTTGTATTCAAATACAGTTTAAATGGGATATGTTAAATAAATTCATTTTAGACTAACAACTAATTTTGTTTGCTTAATTAAAATTGTATTTTTTAAGAACATTTATTTCTGCAAAATATAAACCATTTGTTGTTGCCGAATATAAATTGACCATGATTTTGTTATTTAGTGAAATATGGTGGTCAGATATGTTGGATGTCAGCTTGGTACCCTAATGATTTAAGTTTGGAATTATAGCCGCAACTGTCATCAGTATTTCCTTTCATTGCTATAAATTCTATTTTTTTAAATCAGTGTATACATGAATGTTAAATAAAAGAGTAGAAAGTTGATTATGAGGAAGTAATGTTCCATAAGATCAATGATATTATTTGAAGAGAAGTTTTTTAATCGCATTGGACTAGGGGAGACGATCATACCCATATCACTAGGTCAATATTTGATCGTGATATCCAGGCAGGTTCTAAAGTTTGTTTTTAATCAGGAAAGAATGGAGAGCAAACTTTGCCTTTATCTCTCTTGGGAAGAAGTAAATGTCTGATAAATCTTCTAGAACACAGTTACGCAAGTAAAAATTGATCGTGGTCTCAAAGAGTAAAGGGATGTGGGTCTAATTAAGCCCCCAAAACCTTTATCTCGTACGTAAAATCTCTTGTTTAAAACATCTTAAATCAATACAACATTTCTTGATGATTTGGATTACAGTCGATTCCAAGAACATCTTAAGAGGTCTAAAATTGAGTTTCTTTTCAAAGGTGGTGTGAATTATAACAGGTCGTTTGCTGAGAGTTCGATATGTGAAGTTGTCTCTATGTTTGTTTCTAGATCTGTCGTACATTATGCCCGTAAGCAGTAACTTTTCTTTCCTAGCACCAGGATCAATATGTATTTAAGAGAGAAGATAACTCTTTTCTATAAATACCATTTATTATACTTCTCTCAAACTAATAATAGTCTCACTATTTCAACACCATTTCTTTGTAACTTTAATATTATAGATTGCAATATTCAATACACTATTTTCTTCATTTCCTTTATTTATATCAATCAGGAATATAAATTTTTAACTGACTGTTAATTGATATATTTTAAGTTTTCCATCTTGCAGTTTATAAGTCTTCACCCACTGTCGCATTGATCGCTTTGTGAAAAAGCTTCGAAACCTTTAATGGGATTTCTTAGTTATCATTCCACTACAGTGTAGGGTTTATAACCCAGAGGAGATTATTGGTGCTTTTTATGCCTCTGCTCTACTTGCATTATTTCTGGCTTAGCCGCAACAAATATAATACATATTTGATGCCATTTTGAAAATTGGCGACCAGACAGAGAGCATTATCGATTGGCATTTCAAGGTAAAGTATAATTCATCCAACACGTACAGCATTAAATGCTGCATCTTTATGCTTTATTCTGTACTTAATATTCACATATTGATATATACAACAATTTCAAACTGATATGTTAATATAATTTCAGTTCTTACATAACTATTTATTGGAGAAAACTATCAAATTGATTTAGACAGATAAATAATGTGGCATGTGTTTTATCGCAAGGCAAAAAAAAATGAAATGAAATGAATGGAGTTTTACGTCCCACTTTTCTATTAACACAAGGCAAGATAAGCTGACTGAAATAAGAGATGTCTTTTAATGCATAGAAATAGAAAAGAAATTCATTCATCTTATATTCAAAAGATCTTATTTCAATTTTTTGTTTTACAGATGGGTTTATAAAAATACAGAATTTGTATTGTGTCTGATAAAATATAAAATCTTGATTCTGAATCAAAATTGGGAAGTGTATTGAATAATCTATAATGATCGATTGATTTCTATCCCTAGAACTAATAATAGGAAGCTACATAAATTCAACAAATGACCTCTTCAACACCGAAAGTCTGCAATTTTCACATCAACAGCAGAAACCTTAAATTGGAATCATATTGATTGCTTGTCAAAATGTGTATGACAAATTTGATGACAAGATGGAAATAGGAATATCACTAGAAGTAAAATAGAGAATCTGTACAAACGTCTATCATAAGAATCAGGTAGTATTATAAAAAATAAAAAAGAAAAGGAATCTGTACAAGTATCTGGAAGACATAAAATGACATGTAGAAAGACAATTGATAGTTAGAAACTTGGGAGTATTTAATTTAGTGAGTGAGAGGATATGATTATTGAAAATCACCTCTAGCTCTATAAAAACAATGAACATCACTTTATCTCCATCATTTGATCAATTTTTTCTCACCATTTTACATTTGGTTTTAAGTTAAAAATCTATTAGAATTATCATTTTAAAAATCAAAAGTTCAAGATATTTGTGATCAATTTATAGCAAAATCGTTGAAAAAGACAACATTGTTATGCTATAGAAATTAAAAAACTAAACCGAAAAATGAAAATGATACTGGAACAGTTTTTCCATGGTATAGCAGTATTGGTGTTATACAGTATAACAGCTTTAAATTTCAAAATGCGATGCATATTTGGAAAATTAGAAAATATATCCGATATTACAAGATTCATTTTGCAACCAATGATCAAAACGTCTATACTGATCAGAACATGTCATATAATCTGTAAATCATCAGAATTATTAATTCCAATGATGACCAATATGGTTGTTGACATTGACATAAACAAGATGTAGAAATTGCCCTTGGCTAGTCTCTTGTTTTATACTGATTAAAGCTGTTTTCAGCCTTGTCTATCACAAGCTTCATTAATCCATCTATCATCATGATAAATTTAATGTTACATACTATGGATTACAATTTCTAGTACCAGATGAATGAAGTCTGGTTGGTACTAGAAATTATATTTTCTAAAATTATACTACATGAAATATAATGTTAAACCCATGTAGACAGTAGTGATGATTGTCACAATTTTAGAACTGAATTATGAACAATCGAATCAAATCTTTTTAAATGGGAAATACTCTTTTAAAATTATTGCTTTAAGGGACAAACTTAAGACATTGGATACCAAATTTGATTACAAGGACAAAATACATCAAAACATATCCATTGAAGACCTAGCCAGATTGTAACCCAACAGAGAACTTCCATAAACAACCTTTCCTTTGTACATAAATTAATAAGATCATCTAGAATATTTCTCAGAGGGTTTGCAGCTTGACTAGTTTCTATGATAAATTCTTATTACCATGAAAAGTGTTTGATTTAGTTTGAATGTAAAGTAAAAGTTCAGGGCTAGTCCGAGGAATTATTAGTAATTTGAGTATATAATGAACATTGTCAGTATCTGATTAGTTGGTAATCAACAACTGTCAGACCATATCATATCACACTATTTTACAATCTTAATATCAACCACTGGCCACTATATGACACTATGTAGTGACACTTAACTGTCTCTATACAGGTCTCTTTATAATATCAACTTAAAAAAAAAAACAATATCAACAATAAATCCAAGTATAGTTGAATTCAAATTAATAATTTAAATCTGCTATGACTAAGTAGAGAAGAAATTCTTAAAAATGTAACCAAGATATTTTCTTCAAGATTTTTTTCAAGAATTCTTATATTTAGATTCAAAAAAAAGTCTGGAATTACGATGAGAAATGGAATTAAATAAAACAGAATCGGGGTAGATAATCAATAGAGTATACTTGTCGAAGCAGAAGTAATTAGGTTAAAGTTGAAACATAAAACAACTTCACATGTTAAATTTCTTCACTCACCGACGGAAATTCAATGCATTTAATGAATATGAGGCAACATATTGAGTTGTCAATGTTTGGAGAATTGGAATTTGGCTGCTAATTTTCCAATAATCTAAGCTATGATGTCATCAAAGCAGCATGATACAGACTCAAGTAGTGAATCTAAATATTTATGTCTGTACTCAATAGCTTTCAATTATTCATTTGTGACAATTCAATCCCGACTACTCTTACTAAATCTAATCAATGTCCCCCTTACTAAAGTCTATAGTCGTGTCTCTTGTACCCAAAAATAACATTCAGAACCATGATAGTTAACTAAGGACCAAAATCAATTCATATTTATTTATATCAGAAGGCTGATAAACTTAGAAGCTGGAAATTTGAAGATCAAATGAAACAGGTACCGAATACTGCATGTCTCTTGTAGTTGGGATCCTATTTAGTTCAAAAGTAGAATGTAAAACTCAGCTCATTTCTTTCAAATTATGAAAAATAATTTAGATCTCTGTTTCCTTTCAGAAGTACTGGTAATATATTTTTATCGAACATTGACCATGTTAGAAACTACAGAAGTGTACCAAGAATTTTATATCAATATTATGTCTATGATATCCAGGAATTTTAATATTCTAAATAAACAAACTTGAGATTGTGTCAATTTGTTTTTCAACAGACATCTATACATGGTATTGGTTCTTGGCTGAAAGGAGATCTTTGAATATCACTATTTGGGAACCAAAAATATAATTTTTTTTTATAAAATCTGGTGGAGACAAATGTTTTTTTTTAAAAGTAATACCATCCATAACCAGTTCATCATTTGACCTACTGGTATAGTACAATGACTGAGGGTTCGGAGCGTAAAATACCTAAAGTAATGCATTCAGAATTTTACAATTCCAGAAACAATATTGACCATCATTGAAACTTTCAGAAACATGCATAAATCCATGAAAAACGTCTAACAACATTGACAGAACATGAAATGCCAAAGGGAAAAAATGTCCAAATTCCATTTCATTAAGCAGACTCAG